CCCCCCCCCCCCGAAGCCCAGGATTCTCTTCTTTCTGTTTCCAACTCTGTTAACCTCCAGCCTTAACTCTGGGGCTTCTGGGGATGGAGAGGGGGGCATTTCCAGGAATACACATTCTCTTCCCACAGAAACGCGAAAGCTGCATAAAACTCCAGAAACTTTCAGCTCCCCGCACCTCCCAGGACCTCCGGATACTCCAGCGCTACCCTTCAACCTTCGAGCCAAACCAAGATGCTACTGGTGTGATGGGAGAGGGCAGCTCCTCCCCCTCCAGGAGCCGTGCAGCATGGGCAGGGGATCCCCTGGCATCTCCAACCTCTGGAACCAAGATGATGCTTTCCCGAGGGTGGGTGATAAATCGGAAGCCTGAGCAGCCCCAGGGGGCGCCTGACCGTCAAGAGTCTGGAGGATGGGGATGGAGGTTCCAAAGGTGCCGGTGTGACAGGCGGCGTTTACCTGGCTGCGGAGGCAGAAGAGCAGGGGCAGGAGGCACGAGAAGAGGTATTTACCCCATCGGACCAGGCAGGAGAAGCACCAGCTCAGCCGAGCCATGTTGCACCCGAGAGAGTAGGAGGCTGGCTGGGCGACGGTAGGAGAGGAGGAAGGGCTGGCTGCGCGGGGGATGGAGGCGAGGAAGGCAGGAGCCCTGCTCCCGGGGTCTCCCGGACCTTCCGTCCCAGGGGAATAGCGCTTGCGCCCCGCCCCCTCTAGCGGGAGGAGCGGGGCTAGGGACCCGCCGCGCGGCCCCAACCTGGCTCCATCTCCCGGGAGCGCCTTGCTGGGGTCCTCCTCCAATGGCTCGATCTCTGCTATCCTGGGAAGCGGAGCGCCTCTGCTTCTCTGGCCGGCTGGGGTGCGAGAGCAGCGCCCCGGCAACTTTTGAGGTGCGCGGGGAGCCGCGCAGGAGAGGCGCTGGGGACCTGGCAGAGGCGGTGCGGGGCATGGGTCCGCCTGCGGGAAGCAGCGGCAGCCAAGGGGGCCCCGGGCGGTGGCAGCATTGTGCGCCCCGCTGCAGTGAGTGTGTGAGCGTGCGTGTGTGCGTGTGCGTGGATTCCCTCCAGATCGCACTCCAATTCCCATATTGCTCCCCGGAGCATAATGTGATTAAGTTAAACAGAGCCAGCCGGCTTCCACCACCTTAACCCGAGCTCGCCTATGAGGACACTAAGAGCGATCAGAACCAGCTGTTTCCTCCTAGGCCAACCTCTGACTCCGGCTAAGCTGGTGCTCTCTCTCTCTCCCAGCCAACTCGAGGTGTGTAGACCCTGAGAAGATTCCAAGCACCCCAACAGGTTGGAAGAGAGAGTGGCTCAACAAAATGGAAAACTAGCGGGCACATCCCCACCTGCTGGGATGCAGGGCCCTCTGCTTCCTGTTTTCACTCTGTTGAGTCCCATCCTGCCACCAGGCACGGCCCCTCCCTACCTCCAGGGTCCTCTCAGGAATACTGTTTGCAGTCACCAGATTGGGACCTTGGAACTAGGGAGAAGGAAGAAAAGACACGGGAAGCAGAGATGCTGGGCTCTGGGGAGAAGGGGATGTAGAGACAGACTGAGATGGCCTGACTGATACCCATAAGCACACGAGAAGGGCTGGCAGGGCAGCCATGAGCTTTGCCCCACTTCTGTGGCTGCTGAGAAGCCAAGAGGGCAGGCAGCCAAGCCCAGAGAAAAGGGGGCAGGGAGCTGCAGCAGGGCCTCTTCTGCAGCAACAGGCCCTGGGAGCCAGCCAGGCCCACACCCCTCACCCACCCCCAGGGCCTGCGCCATCTCAGGGCCAGGCTGTCTTGCTGTCACTGGCTTCCCTTGCGCCAACTAGGGTCCCTTTCCCAACGTGTAGGCTGAGGGCCAAAGGGTGTGGGGATAGTTGAGCTCTGCCCTCAGGCTCTCCAGGGCCACAGCTGACTTCTCAGTCCAGCCCCACCCCCATTTCTGCTGTGCACCCCCAGAGGAGGCAGCTAGAGCTGGCACTGCGGGGGACAGGAGAAGGAGCCCAGGAAGATGAGCCAGTGAGGGAGGAGGCAGCTGGGTGAGTGAATAGAGGGGGAAGACAGGCATCAGAGCCCTTCAGCCCCATCAATCAGTCCCCGAAGCAGGGACACCACCATCACTTCTCCACTGCAATGGTCCAGATGGAAGCTGGAGGGGTGTCAGGAAAGCAGGTGGAATGGTAGTGTCTCTCACTAAAGCAAGTCATCCCTACAGGTCAGTCTTGGAAAGTGCCCACCATCCCTAGCAACAGGCCTACCATTGCCACACCCTGCTCCGGGCCTGGAGGGAGGGGGCTTCAGAATTCACCACAGCCTCCCAGCTTCCCAACTTGGGAAACAGAAGGAAATGGACTTAATCATAGCACGTGGAAGGGAGTTTAATAGAAAGACCTTAGAAAGCAGAAAGAAGTTCTTCAAATAGGACTGGCTGCCTAGCGCATGGGAGCAAGGCAAGATGACTTTTTGTTTATGTATGTATTTATTTTTGTACTGAGAATTGAACCCAGGGCCTTCACACTGAACTATAGATTCATCCATGTCTTTCTCTTCTTTTTAAAATTTGAGACAGAGTCTCAGTAAGTCACTAAATTACTCAGTCTGGGCTGGAACTTACTATCCTCCTGCCTCAGTTTCCCAGAGTTCTGGGAATACAGACACTTTCCGCCACATCTGCCCAAGTTAGTTTTTTCTTCAGAGGATTCTTAAGGTCTACTCATCACTTAAGCCATGAAAGACGCTCCACACACAGAAGGAAGCAGAGAGGTGGGAAGACAGGGAGGCAATAACTATATCCAGCCCTCCCCGACTTGAAGATATTGATGGAAAGGGCTCCCAAAGACAGAGACCTTTACTTCTAGCCTCTGCCCAGCAAGAGGCACCTTCAGCCAATGAACCTCAGGGGAGAGGGAAGAGTCTGAGGCTGACAGGGATAGGCACAGAAGTCAGGCCTATCACTGCCTGGAGAGCCTCTCCAGTTTTCCCCTCACAGCTCCTGGCCCCACCATTCCCCAGGGAGCTTCATGCTAAATGTTTCAATTCCTGAAGCCCAAGGTTATCCTGCCCCAAGTCCTCTGTTCTGTTTTCATCTCCTACAGAGATCAGAATCCTGAGAATAACAACTGCAGGAACCCATACCTTCCAGAAGGCATCCAGAACCTCCTGGAAGATTCTAGCAAGGACCTTCTTCCTCTTTCACCAAAACATATGTGTGGGGGTGGAGGACTTCCAATTCCAAGGTCTCCTCCCAATCTTGATCCCCACTCTCCCTCAAAGTACTCAGAACACCAGAAGCTACAACCTGCCTATGGTAAGTGCTAATGCATCCTCCTTCCTTTCCTCTCCTTGCAAGCCCCTGACCTCAGGAACAGAGATGTAAGGCTCCCATAAAGAACTAGACACCAGGGGCTGGGGATTTAACTCAGTGCTTCCGGCGCCTGCCTCACAAGCACAAGGACCTGAGTTCGATCCCCAGTACCAAAAAAAAAAGAACTACACACCAATATGCAGGTCCAGAGGGCCATGTCTTTGAGGCCAAAACATGGTGTGAGGAAGGGATTGGGAGACCATGGGTAGGATCCTGTTTGTGAGAGGGCCCTCATGGCAGACCCTACATAAAGACCTCTCTTCAGGCCCCCATTGGGGGCCCAACGGTAGTCCCCAGCTCCTCACCTCTCCCTCCCCAGTGACAATATTTTTATTTTATGTGTTTGTTTTTTGGTACCAGGGATCGAATTTGGGCCCTTGAGCTTTTGAAGCAGGCAGTAGAACCACTGAGCCAAATTCTGGCCCCCCAGTGACAATTTTGAAGAGCTGGTCACCATCCAGGAGATGGCCATCAAGGTTAACTGATCCTCTGATGACTCCTTATCCCCCTGCCCATGTGACATGGCCCACGCCAAGCTCCCACAGAATCCAGGGCCTGTCTCACAGTCCTGCCATCCTCTGATCCTCCTCCTTCCCCTCTCTTCCCCTCTCTTCTCACCTGGGCCTGCAGGTAGCCATGGGACTATACTGGGTCCAGCCTGGGTGTTATGGAGATCACGCTATTTCACACTCCTTCATGATCTTTTGGACTCTGGGTGAGGGCCAAGGAGCAGATTCCAATCCTCATCCAGGTGGGATAGAGGCCATGTTTGCAGAATGGGCCCTCCCTAAATCTTCCTGGGATCAGAGCCTCTTTTCTCACCGAGAAGCAAAAGAAGAACAGGAAACTTCCCAGAGGTGACCAGTACAGGTGTTGGAGAAACAAAAGAGCAGATTGTGGCCCACAGGCCCCCTGGGACAGCCCATGGAAGGAGAGCACAACCAGCCCAGGGTAGGCACAGAGCTCCTCTGTCCCAGGCCTTCAGGGCCGAGGTGCCCCTGGCTGGTTTTATCTGCAGGGGGACAAAGGCAGCTCCTGTTAGGGGAGAACCACTTGGGCGACCGGTTGGAGACTCCAGGTCTCACTTTCACACCCAGAGAGAGATGTGTGCAGAAAGCTCCCTGGGGACCACCCCCCCATCCTTCTCCAGGATTAGAGGAGACAAAGTTCCATGGGCCTCTCCCTCACAACCAGAGGTCGAGCTTCCCTACCCTCTGCCTCAGTGATTCTCCCTTGGGCCCCAGGGAGCTCTGCCTTAGGTGCTATCTCCCAGGCTGGCTCTCTAGGCCCTCATCCCTACCCCACCCAAAGAGGCATCACACCAGCCACACTCATGGGGAACTGCCCAACCAGCCACAAGGCTCAGAACTCATATCCAGCCCCTGGGCTTCTCTCCACACACCCTGGTAGAGGTCCCTACAGGGCTCCAGGGAGGCCTCTTGTGCCCACCCCATTAAAGTCCTTCCATTCCCTGCACCCACCTCTGTGTGACACCAGTGTGCTCAGCCTTTCTCTTCTGGGAACACTGGCTCACTCCTTCACTGTCTCACACTCCTCCCCACCAGAATGCCAGCTCCAGAAGACTTCTCCATCATTCCTAGGTGCATCCTAGGACCTAGCATGATACCCGGCATGGGGCAGGGACACAAGGCACTTGGTAAGTTGACTGCCACAGTTAAGCAAAGAAGGCAAAGAGGGAGGCCATTCCCGTTTCCAAATCCAGGGGTCCCTTTCACAGCTGTGGTATATGGGCTGGTGGGGATTGTGATTTCTGAGGTTCTTGCCTCTACCTCAGCCTAGATGAGCAAACCTTTATGCATCTACATTCCACAAACCCCCTGATGAGAGACCCCATGTTTCTTTTCTGAAACTGGGCCGTGATATCCAGTATTGATTCCAGTTAATCTTAAAAAGGACCCAGCCCCTTTCCTTGTCCATTTCCATGAGGACACTGAGGCTCTGCGAGATACAGTGGCTTTGCCAGGGGTCAAGCAGCTAGGCAATGACCATGCCAGAACTCAGCCAGAGACCCCAACCCTGGCTCATTGCTTTTCCACAGCACAACACTGCAGCCAGAAGGGGAGAGAGGGGAGGAGGGAAGGCAATGTCTCTCCTCCCAGAGGAATCACAAGGAGGTGACTCCCTGGATCCTCTTTCTCCCTTCACCACCACTAACCAGGTCCCTGGTCTCCAACAGTCAGGAAGTTCCCCTTGATACCTCACCTCCATCCCCGTTCTCAAATTCCAGACTATTTCCTCTTAGCCTGCCTTGCCTAGAGAAGGAGAATAGCTTGGTCACTCTCGCCTGCACAATAAATGCCTTCAGACGTGGCTCGTTATTCAAGCCCCCTCCCCTCCCCACCTCCACTCCTCTTCATTCTCCAGGCTGGGAATCCCGGTCCTCCCGGCCCCTTTCCAAATGACTTCCATCACCACCCAGCAGCTGACATGATAAACGCTGGGAGGGGGAGGGGCGAGGCCAGCCTGCTGTGATCGGGGTATTGATCCACTGGGCTCCCTCCCTTCGAAGCTGGGGGTGGAGAAAGAAAAGATGTCCTGAGGTCATCCTGGTCATCCCTCTGCTCCTGGAGTGCTGGTTGCAGGGCCCAGGGTGGAGACAGCAGACCTGGGAGCTGGGCTGCTGGGCTGCTGGGCCTGAGCCCAGGCTCCTGCAATGAGATTAAAGCAGGGACGGTCTAATTGATTCAGATGGAACTGGGGGAGAGAGTGAGATGAATGGAGAGAGCAGGAGGAGAGAGAGGAAGGAGGATGGAGAAGGGGGAGGACCAGAGGGCTAGGCTGGGATGCCCAAGAGGAACAGCGCATGCAATCACCCCACCCCTCCTGCCCAGCCCCCTTCCACAGAATGCAACCACGGTCTGGTCTGCCCTGAACTGGACAGAGAGAGTGGTTCAGTGTGGGTGGCACCACAGGAAGGGAGCTGGTTTAAAGTTGCCTGTCCTAGGAATCCAGATGACACAAAAAGGCAAGACAGTGGCAGTGATGGGCAGACATCTGGAGGCACCAGGAGAGAGACAGGATAGAGAGGCAGATGCAGACAGATAACCAGGTCCTGGTTCACTTTCAATCCATCCACTGCTTCCTTCTCTGCCCCGTGACCTTCACCCATCCAGCCCCCTGCCACCCCACTCCCTCCTGCTGGGCCATCTCACTGGGCTCTTCTCCTGTGCCCACTCCCAGGCTATCGTTTCTGCAGTGGGTTTTTCCATCCACTGAAGCCAAGAGAGAAGGTGGACGGCCCCTGTCCATCCTACAAAGAGCTTTGAGTGGCAATGAAGGGCTATCTTCCAGGTGAGGGGAGGGGAGGACAGTAATAAAGGAAAGGGAAAGAATGCATAGGGTGTAGCCAGCCAGGGAAACTGAGGCACAAAACAAGGCAGGCAAGGCCTCATCCCCTGGCTCCATGAGCAACAGGGCTGGGGATTCCCGGATACTCCTGTATCCCCTGGCTCACTGAAGGGGCCGCCCCAGAGCGGGGTCAGAGCTGAGACCCTCCTGGGCTCAGCTTCAGGCATCCTGGTCAGAAGCCTGATACCCTGAGCCACGGACCTTGGGCCACAGCTGGGTGAGGTCCAGAGCAAGCTCCTGGGGGTCCCCAAGCCCACCCAAACATGAGTCCTGTACCACTGCACAGTAACAGGAGAGACGGCGCCTCAGAGCAAAGTCCTCGCCATTCCTCAGATCAACATGGGGGGCTCCCCCGGCCCTTACAGACTTCCATGGTCCAATTTGGCCTCCTCTTTTCCCTATCCCAAAAGGTCCCAGATCCTCCTTGGAGTCCACTTGAGCACAGCTTCTGGCACATTATATTCTCTGTCTGCCAGCCTCAGGGCAGAGCAGGGCAGCGTCCGGGCAGACCAGAGAGCAGGAGGTTTCTGCTGCAGCTACCCTCAGCCAGCCCGGCCCCATCTGGCCCTATGGATAGATAAGCTGGGGGCACAGACCCTCCCGGGAGCCTCGGTGTCCTCATCTGTCAAACAAGTACCACCGTATTTGCCTTTCTTACCTCCTGAGCAGTTCGGACCTTGCCAGGAGAAAGCATAGGTAGGTGAAGCATCCCCTCCATCATCACTATCCTTACCTCCCAGAGAGAAGAATCCAGAGCAGAGTTCACAAAGAATCCAGGGTCCAAATTCTGGGCCCGGCGCTTACAGGCCTTGTGACCTTGGGGAGATCATTTCTCCAGTCTGAGCCAGTTTCCTCTTCCTTAACGTGGAGCCAAGAATCCTAACCTGAAGGCGCAGTTGTGTGGACTGAATTGACTGCCTGACATTGACCTGACTCATCAAAGTGACCTCAGGAGCTCCCAGACAAATATCACAGAACCTGGGGCCAGGTGAGCCGCCCAAGGCAAGTGCACGGCAACCTTGCCTGGGTCTGCCAGTGCCCGTTGCCTAGTCCCCCCCACCCCTGACGATGCTCCTTGCCAGAGCCCTCATCTAGAGCGCCCTGTCTGGAACACAAAGTTCACAGCCCTAGCCAGGGTGTGGGCACCTCAGAAGAAGAGCCAAGAGTCTCAGAAGGGTGACACCAAAGGAGCATCGTGAGAAGATGCTAGAAGTGGGCCAGAGGGTAGGTAGACTGAGGGCACACAGGACCCAGTAAAAGAAAGGAATTAGAGAAGAGAGAGAAGGGAGCCCAGCAATGATTTCCTGAGTCCCCCACCCAACAGAAAGCAAATGAGAAAATGAGCCAAGATTGAAGTAGAAAAATACTCAAATTAGACAACAGGCAGAACTTCCAGTGAGGCACCACACTGCCAGAGAAACTTCTATTTTCAACCTTCTGCTCCCCATGCTCTCTTTATGTGCCCCAACTAAGTTCTGAGTCTTTAGTTTTTCATGGCTCAGCATAAAATCTCAGTTTTTCAAAGCCCCTGCTCCCCTTAAGCAGGAAAATGGACCAGCCCTGCTGTCCAGTGCCTGAATCTCCACCATACAAGCTGTGCATCCAGAAAGACAAGCGCCACAGGCTGGGGCCCAGTCAGTGAGGAGCAGGGGACTGGGACAGGGAAGAGAGGGAGTAAGGAGAGCTGGGAACCTCCCCCCAGAAAGACAAAAGCAAGTGCTGAAGGAACTTCCTGACTGCCTTGGACCCCACATGATAGAGTGCTGTGCAGAGCTGATGGAGCAGAGCCAGGGAGCTGCCTGCTGCAGTGGGGGTGCCTGTGTCGTCTTCATTAGAGGAGATGACAGTTTGGGAGCTGCCCTGGTCCTCCTCCCTGAGCCCGCGTCTCACTGGAGGAAGCCTCTCTCTCTCTCTCTCTCTCTCTCTCCTTCACATCTTGGGTGCTGGCTCAATGCTCACCATCCATGAATGGCCTCAAAATGCACCTTAAACTTCCCATCAAGGAAGCAGAGGGGCCGCCATCTGGGTCACAGGTAATTGCACCCGAGACCAAAGAAGTGAATCAGATCCTTCCGAGGCATGGCCTGATTGAACCCATGTGTTTGTTTTCGTTCCCCCTAGAAAGCCCGCTAAAACAACAGTAAAGGGTTCTTTTTATTTTTTTTTTAATAAAGCATAAATCCGGGTGGAGGAAAAAAAAAAGGAGCGGAAATGCCAACAGCAGCGCATGATGCTCAGTGTACACCTCCCTGCAGCCCTTCCATTCCAGCAGGGCAACAGACACAACACCCCCACCCTGTCACCACACCACTTCCTCCTTTCAGCAATTCCCTGCCCAACAGAGCCCCAGTTCTGCCTCCTAGGCCAGTCCCTGGAATCGCTTGTTAAATATTTTGAATATCACCCCGACAACAGTGTTCAACATCTGGGAGATGGAGAGCGAAGGGTGACTGGGAACTATAAACCCAACACCGCAGAACATTGAACCAAAGTAACGGCCAAGAAGCAGCTGATTCAGAGACCAGAGACCCCCAAAGGCTCAGGACTGGTGACCTCAGAGACTTTCCAGAGGGGATATGTGTGAACTGGAAATAGGAAGTTGGTAAGACTCTGAGGATGGGATACTATGACAATCCAGATCTCCTCTCTGATCTGGAAGGAGGCACGAGACTCATTCCCTGGAAAGAGTAAGTCAGCAGCAGCCTGGGGACAGGAGGCACAGCGGAGGGTGTGGCTCTGAAAGGAAGGTGTATGATCACTGAGCTCCAGTGGCAGCCGGGCCTGCTCCTGCCCCCAGCAGACAGGTGGGGATTTCTCTTGGGATCCAGGGAGCCCAAAGGGAGAGACGCAAAGATACTCATCAAAGTTTCTGCCATGAAGCTACCCCAGCCTGGCAGACAGGTGAGGGCAAACAATCCGCCCTTCGGTGTCCCAGTTTAAACATTGAGCTGAAAACTCAGGTTCCTGAAAGCTTTGAGTAAGCAACGGGGAGCAAAAGCAACTTGGAAGAAGCAAATATAAGGCAGGAAAAAGAAAGGCTAAAGGATGGTCACCAATACCCTCTGCAAGAGAGCAGAAGCAAGTGCAGCCATGAAATAAGAACCAGACACTGTTAAAATAAAAAGAACATCCAAGCAAGGCATAGTAGTGCATGACCATAATCCCAGCACTCTGGGAGGCTCAGGCAGAAGGATTACAAGTTTGAGACCAGCCGAGGCTACTTATTGACCTTGTCTCAAAAAATACAAAAAGGGCTGGGGGTGTAGCTTGGTACAAAGGTCATGGGTTCAGTTCCCAGTACCACAAAAGTAGAAACATTCAGGGAACCAAAAGGTGGGCTTGGCAGACCCTTTTACTGGGCACCTGCTCCAACCTGCTCACCACCCTGGAGCCCCTGAACTAGAGAATCTCCTAGGGAGTAGAGATTCTCTCCAAGGGAGTGGAGGCCCAGAGAGAGGGTGGTGCTCACAGGCCAGGAAGCAAGAGACAAGGGCCCAGGGGCAGGGGCTCAAAGGGGTAGGCATTAGCCTGGTGAGCCTGTGGAAGGTCCCCCTGCGCCTGGGCCCTCTGGCCCCACTGGCCCAGAGAGGCTGCCACGCAGTATTCCCAAGAGGCAAACACCCTGCCTCCTCCAGGTGGGGAAGCGCTCTGCTGAACTGACCACAGCCCCATGACCAGGCACACCACCACCTCTCCACCCAACCACCCACCCTGGAACACTGTGCTTTGCCTGCAGTCTTCTGGGCTGCACTCGGTTCCACCTCCAGTGCTTACTGGTGGCGAGGAGTCCTGGGTTGATCTCAGCCCTGGGCTCACCTCTCTGCCTGAGTCGCTCACCAGCACCAGGAGTTCCTTCCCAGGAGCCACCCCCAGCCCTCCCAACTTCTGTCTGCAGCAGTGTGACGGGAAGGCCCCAGAGCTCCCGCAGAAG